GTGTGATCCAGCACACTGACGCGACACAGGTCTTCAGTCTGACACAGATCCTCGTCCTTGCATACCAATCTACCGGTGTCATCTATGGCGACATTGGAACGTCACCGCTCTATGTTTACTCTTCGACGTTCACAGAGGCGCCTAGTCGAATCAATCTGCTCGGTGCCCTGTCCCTCATACTATGGTCTGTTACGTTGATGGTCACCGTCAAGTACGTCTTGATCATCCTACGCGCCGACAACGATGGAGAGGGTGGCACATTCAGCACATACTCGCTTCTTTCCAAATATGTACGTCAAACAACGTGCGTGAGTACCTCAGTCACTGATGTATGTAGGCAAACATCGCGAACAGAGATCCACGCGAAGCAACCCTCATACGTGAGTGTGCATCATGCCATAGGTCTTCTTATACTGACTTCATGCAGGGATGGAGAGACACAATACCGATACTCTGGGCCGATCCACAAGAAACATCCGCTCAACTATCGAAAAGTCCAAGTTCTTTCGCGGTCTACTGCAGGTCATCGGTGTACTAGCCGTATCGATGGTCATGGCTGATGGTGTTCTCACTCCAGCTCAATCCGTCTTGGGTGCCGTACAAGGTCTAAACGTCGTGAAGCCTGATATCGAGAAGTCCACCATCATCGGTGTCACATGCGCCATTCTGGTCCTGCTATTCGTCGTGCAGCCGCTTGGTGTCACGAAATTGACGTTTGTCTTCTCGCCCATCGTCATTGTATGGCTGGCCTTGAACGCTGGGTTTGGAGTATACAACCTTGCCAAGTATGTATTCTTGTTACTCCCGAAGTACTCTTGACTGACAACTACAGCTATGACTACGCGATCCTAAAAGCTTTCAATCCTTTCTATGCATTCGACTACCTGATACGGAACAAATACGAAGGCTGGCGCAGTCTTGGTGGTATACTCCTGGCCTTTACAGGCGTTGAAGCCCTGTTCGCAGATATCGGTGCCTTCAGTCGCCGTGCCGTACAGATCAGTTGGCTCGGATACGCCTACCCGTGTTTACTGCTTGCCTACAGTGGTCAAGCTGCCTACATCAGTGTGCACCCGGAAGCATACTCCAACCCCTTCTACAACTGTGCCCCACCAGGATGGCTCATCTTTTCGCTTATCGTAGCCATCGCTGCTGCCATCGTTGCGTCGCAGGCCATGATCACGGCGACGTTCCAGCTCCTGACCCAGATCATGAAGCTTTCGTACTTCCCGCAGATCAAGGTCGTCCACACTTCGACAACGTATCACGGACAGCTATATATCCCCAGCATCAACTGGCTACTGATGATTGGCACTGTACTTGTCGCTGCTATCTACAACAACACAACATCCTTGGGTAACGCCTACGGTGTATGCGTCATGTTCGTCACATTCTTCGACACTTGCATGGTTACCCTCGTTGCGATCCTAGTGTGGCGCATCAAGCCATACTTTGTACTTCTTCCTTGGCTCACCATCGCTTGCCTGGACGGTACCTACCTGTCATCGGCACTCACTAAAGTACCCGACGGTGCTTGGTTCACCATCTTGCTTGCCTGCCTTCTCGGATCCATATTCATCCTCTGGCGATTTGGCAAAGAGCAACAGTGGGGCGCCGAGGCCAGTGATCGCTTCCCAACAACGCACTTCGTAAAGACACTACCAGACGGCCGCTTAGAGCTAACCGAGCAATATGGCAGCAAATCTGTCGGAACCATGGAAGGCTTCGGCATCTTCTTCGACAAAGCCGGCGAGACAACTCCCATCGTCTTCAGTCAATTCATCCGCAAACTAGTCACCATCCCTGAGGTCATCGTATTCTTCCATCTCCGGCCGCTGGAGGTACCCTTCGTCGCTCCAGAGAATCGATACAGTGTTTCGCGACTCGCCGTTCCAAACTGCTACCGCCTAGTAGTCCGCCACGGCTACATGGACGAAGTAATCACCCCAGATCTAGCATCATTGATCTACGAGAAAGTCCGCAACCACATCGTCGCACGGGCCCTGGAACGCGAAGGCGAGATATCAGCCAAGGCTACCGGCGCCCAGCCGGAGAAGACCATGGTTACCGAGACTGTTGCTGGGAGTGGCATATCGACTCCAACACGCAGCTCAACTACTTCTGCTCGTCTGGAAGCCCTTGAGCGTGCGTACAACCGTGAAGTCTTGTACATTATTGGGAAAGAGCAGATGAAGGTTAAGGTCGGTACGAACATCATCCGTCGGTTCTTCTTGAAGGCTTTCTTGTTCATTCGGGATAACTCGAGAGCGAAGATTGCGAGTTTGGATGTTCCTATGGATAAGGTTATTGAGGTTGGGTTTGTGAAGGATGTGTAATCGAGGAAGTGTGCATCCGTAATCTAGTCTTTTGGGCGATAATCGTTCGCATTGTATCGATGGTTTCCGCAAAATCTTGTGTTATGGCATGTCGATACCTCGGTACCTTTACGTGCCGTCGCTCTTACTCAGTGTCGATGCCAATGCGTCGCAATGACGTGCCTTCTTAGTCATTGCTTGGACCCTTCCGACATTTGCTGACTAGCCACACTTCCACGCCTCACCCTCCAACATCTCCAATTCTCTTGCAAATCTCCTAAACCCCCCAAATCAGCCAATTTGCGATCATGAACAAGTTACCCGACGATAGTACCACCTCGCACGTGTACGTTGCCAAGGCGGCAGGACCGTTGAATAGCTCGTCACCCCCTCGCGGCCTCAACCGCGCTCCTCAGCCTGTACCTCTTCGCGTCCTGAGCACACACGCCATCTAGATTGCCGCCATAACGACATAAGATCAACATTCGTCTCCCCTGAGATGGGGTACAATACACATGGCTATACCAGGTCCGGCTTTAATTGCGCCGCACGTTGTGCCGTGGCGCGCATTCGCGGTGTGTCAGGCAAATCAGCGAGCCAGGTGAGACGCGATAAAGGTTTTTCGCATCGTGTCGATGCGTGAACGCTGTTTCGGGCATCGTGTAGGGTGGAGGATTGATCTTCGCGCAGTTGGACTTAAGATGCATCTCCTTTGTTTCTGTCTTGTGGAGGTGCTCGTTCATCCTTCTCCTCCGGCAGTAGCTCCGACCCTGCAGCTTCAGTATGGTGCTCAGCCTCTTCGAGTGGGCATATGCTGTCGCCTACGTCACGTTCGCAATCGGCTTGCTGTCCTCGGTCGCCCGTTTTTACTCTCGCGCATTAGTCTTGAGATCGTGGGGTTGGGATGATACAGCTTCTTGTCTTGTGCTGGTAAAACATAGCCAGCTTTGCGATGTGTCCACGTTTGCTTATTCTCTCAGGTCGTCAGTATTGTTCATCAAGTTGTTCTGCAGCTGTTTCTGAACCTGGGCTGTGGCAAGTAAGTTTGAGGGTGATCATCTGGGATTGTGCGAAGACTGATCATTGACTTCAACAGACCAGGCAATGTGAATTGCAGTTTTCAATCCCTGGAACTTCTTCGGGTGAGCTCTCCATCAGCGTTCTCGCGAGAGATAGAAGAACTAAGGAAGCACGCAGATATCATTCATCGAAGAGATCGTGATATATGGCGCACACTCCGTCATCAAGATGACTTTCCTCTTGTTCTATCTACGGCTTTCCGTTGGCCAAACGTTCCGCGGCTTCGTATATCTTGGATTCGCGCTTGCGTTCTCGGTTTTCCTTGCCAGCTTGTAAGTTGAATGGTATCCGCAGTTCATATGGCCGCAGACTAACGGCATCTAGACTCATGACAGTCCTACAATGTGTACCATTCGAGAAGATTCTCAATCCCATGTTGCATCCCGAGGTTACATGCATCGATATGCGTGTCATGATGCTCACTCCACCTATCCTTGTACGTATTGGCTACCGGCACTCAGCCAGCACACTCTACGCGCATACTAACGAACGGTGCCCTCAGAACATCTTCATGGACCTTTACATTGTTTGCCTACCGATACCCTCCGTCCTGGCCCTCCAGATGAATCTACGCCGCAAAGTCACCGTCGTCTCCGTCCTCGCCTTCGGCATCATCTCCGTCACAGTCGCAATCATCCGCCTACCCATCCTCCTATCGGTATCCTCGATGAAGACAGACCTATCAATAGACGTGGGAAAGATGATAATTGTGGCATCATTCGAGGTTCAATGTGCGATCGTTGCGGCGAATCTACCCGCCATGAAAGCACTTTGGGGTAAGGTCAGAGGCAAATACAGCTCTGCGGGCAGTTATGAGCGATCGAACGAAAAGCCATACCATCTCTCGTCGATGCGCCGAGGAATCCGAAACAAGCGTGCTTCTATGGGAACTATAACGAGGCTAGAGCAAGGGCTGACTGGCAACGAGTCGCAAGTGGAGCTTGTGGAAGGGATACACAAACAACCAGGTCCACTGGTTTTCGGGTTTGGGGAGTCCCATTCCAACTCTGTAAAGTCTTCCCGGCAGAATTCGATTATTGTGACGACTGAACTGGATGTGCGACATACACCGAGGATATAGCGGCTATCAGAGATACGCCCGAGGAGCTTGCGGTAGAGTCAGGTTGATACTTAGCCCACTTAGCTCGGCATAGCGACTCACTCCTGCACTGCTCAGTGTTGTAATGTACTAAGCCGTCTATTAGAGGCAAAACTTTGGGATCCCGTCCTCACCCTCGCTATCGGTTCGTAATTTATGCCACCTCGACTGCATCTCGCTAAAAGCCTGATTGGGTTAAAGCCGCATCCCGCTACTCCAGAAGTATGCAAGTCCCAAATCCTTCTATCCCACTCATGTGCCACGCCGCATATCTTCCGACTATGCAGATCAAGCTCATGTTGACATCAGTCATCTCGACTGAATCAAAATGTACTGGCTTTTGGTCACTTCAATTGGAGGCCTCAGTCTCTTGACTCTGCTTACATGGCGTCGGTACTTCTCGGCAATCAGCGATTTCCCAGGACCATTTGCTGCTTCTTTCACTCGTCTTTGGCATATGCATCGTATTCTAAAAGGCGATCAGAACCTCGAACTCATACGCCTACATGAACAACATGGTAAGTGTACAAGATATGCAGAAGCGCTTATCATCGATAGTCCGCTCACAGTCCTTCTAGGTCACTTTGTTCGTATCTCATACGACGAAGTCAGCGTTAGCCATCCAGATGCCATTGCGAAGATCCTCGTAGCTCCTCTACACAAGGTACTACTTCGAAAAGCACATCGATCTACGAGACGACTGACATGAGTACAAGGCAAACTGGTACAAAATCCATGCCCTACCAGACTATCGCTTCCAGTCACCCATGAGCACCACCGACCCCAAGAAAAAGATCGAAAAGTCAAAATACATAGCCGCGGCATATACCGTCTCCAACCTGCTCCGCTCCGAAGAGCACATCGACCGTACTTTCGAATCCTTCCTCGACTGGATGAACGAATACGCAGCCGCGGAGAAACCAATGCATCTCAACACCTACATCTCCTACCTAACCTTCGACGTAATCGGCGAAATCGTCTTATCTAAACCCTTCGGCTTCCTCGCGCAAGGCAAAGACATCGGGAACTCCATCTCAAACTCCCTCGCTCTGAACGCATATATCGCTGTAGCAGGTTACTTCCGCTGGATCAACATCGCCCTGCTAGCCAACCCCATTATGACATGGCTGTCTATCTTACCAATGGGCCATCTCTTCGACACTGTCACGTCTGTGTTGGCGGATCGAGAGAAAAATGAGAATGTGAGGTATGATGCTGTTCATTACTGGTTCAAGCAGCACGAGAAGCATCCGGATAAGTTTACTATACGCGAGATTGGTACGCAGGCGCTTGCGGCTGTGGGGGCGGGGTCGGATACTGTTGCGGCGGGGATACAGTCTTTTGTTTATCATATGATTCGGCATGAAAATGCGTGGGAGCGCGCGCATAAGGAAGTGGCGAAGGCGGTAAGGGACGGGCTGTGTGGGGATCGGGTGGTGTCTTATGCTGATGCACAGCAGCTTAGGTGAGGAAGCATTTCAGTCTGATCGCCATGGAAGACTGTGCGAGACTGACGTTGAGTAGTTTCGTGCAAGCCTGCGTGAAGGAGGCTCTTCGCATCTTCGGTCCTGTGCCCATGGGCCTTCCCCGCATAGCGCCCAAAGGAGGATTGGTCATTGGAGATCGCATTATACCTGAGGGTACTATTGTTTCGATCAACCGTGAGTGAATCCATTTCGATGTTTTCCTTATCGACCAGGCTGACCTTAAACTGAAGCATGGGTGATGCACTACTCAAAGGAGATTTGGGGTGCGGATGCGCACGTCTTCAATCCAGATCGATGGTTGAAAGCAGACAGTGCTGCCATGGAGAAGCATTGGATACCTGTGAGTGACACTTGCACTTATACTGAGTGTACACCGGCGGCTTCGCGTATATGCTGACTGATCACCGCAGTTTGGTGCAGGTTATGGAGGCTGCCCAGGTCAAAACATCGCTAAGATTGAACTCGCGAAGATCGCAGCGACGTTAGTCAGGGACTACAAGATCAAGCAGGTGGACTCCGCGCAAGACTGGCAGTGGAAGGCCTACTTCACGGTTGTTCCGCATTCATGGCCCGTATACGTCGAGAAGAGGGTATGAAAAAAGAGTAACATTCCACCTCAATTAGCCACCGTCAATATCCTACCTCTAGAATCCAACGCCCAATTAGTCTCGAAGCCATCCTCATCCACAACCCGTTCCATTACCCAGAACCTCTCTTCCAAAACATTTACCCTCCTCTTACTCAGCTCCTCCAACAAGTCGAGAAGACGCTTATCCGTTCTGCCCAACCAAATCCGCACAGCCTCTCCTTCGACCCTCGCTCGTCTCGTCACCCACCAAAGCGTGCCATCGCGACACATATTAAACCACCAGCCCAAAAGAAACACAGCTTTAGGGTCTTTTTGTTCTAGTAAGGCCAGGAATTCGGGCGTGAGAAACGCGGTGAAGTATAGGAAATCCAATACATTGCCATGCGACAGACGTAGATGTTGAATCCGCGAGAGGATCAGGACAGGGAAGTGGTAGACGTTGTTATCCCTATTAGACTCTTCCGTGACACCAAAGACCAGCCTGACTTTTTCAGGCACGAGACTAGTGTCGTTGCTCACCATCCACTCGGGCGGCGTGGGACATGGGCCTGTCTTCTTCTTCAAAACACGGTTGAATACACTGTCCTCCCTCGTAGGATCTGCTATACGCCACAGATGTCGTTTGCCTTCTCCGATCTTCATCCAAGCGAGGTCACCCGGCTCGGAAGGCTTCAGCGGCCAGACTGCGTGGGGGTCGTCCGACTCAAGATACCAGAAGGAAGCAGCGCCGAGGTGGACGCCTGTGGCCCAGATGGCGTCGCGTTGGGACGCAGGTATGGGACCGGAGAGGAGATGCTGGTACTGGGTTGTGGCGTGGGACCAGTGGCGCAGCGATGCGTTTTGGAGAGAGAGAGATCGGGTAGGAGTGTGGGCAAGAGCAGAGTCGTGCATCAGGGTTAGGCCGAGGATCATGTGCATTAGGAAGGGGTGCTACACTACAAGTCAGTTCTGAACAGCTAAAGGAAGAAAGGGTTGGACGTTACGTTGAATGTGAGGCGGCATACTATGTCTCTGCATGCTGGGGCCATTCTCTCGCCTATACGAATTCCGTCAGTCAGCCCGCATACTCAAAACGGTTCAATGTTTTACCATACCTCCGACAGTCAGAGATGTTCTACTCTGAAATCTCGCAAGGATCTCAAGATGACTTTCCGAAAATTCCCAAGATGACTGTCCAGTACCCATGTTTGGATCCAGCGCCGACGCCCCAGATCGAAGAGAGTCTCCAATCATAGAGGTCACAACGCCGTTGAACGATATCGGGCTCCACGGCGTGCGAGTCGCTCCTCTATTCTCATGGTGCGGCGTAATCGTGGATAGCTTCCCAAAATCAACTGTCCCCACGCCCTCCACATGCACGTCCAACTCTCCCTCCTGACCCTCAAAGTCGCAGGCCACGCCATAGGTCACGCATTTCGCGCACCGCGGCCTCGTCTCATCGCACTACCCAAGAACCATCAGCCCAACCAGCCTAAATCATAGATACAGTCAAGACAACTAACCTTAACCCGTCTCAACTTGCAATTCTGACACCCATTCCTCGATTTCGCATTCCAGCGGCGTTTCCTTACACCCTTTTGCGCTGATAAACCGCTGCGTTTGGGTACGAGAGCAGGCATAGCGTCGGTTTGATTTGAGTCTCGTTCTTGATGAAGTGCCTATGAGGTATGCATCAAGCCTGCGAACAGAGAGGGCATTGGAGGTGGGTAGATGTAGTCTAACCCGCGCTCGTACAAAGAGTCCATGCCGCCGTTATATACCTGAATATGCGTGTAAGACTGTACGAGACGGAAGAAACGCGGGGTTTAGCTGCTTCATCGTCTGTGGCAGCAGGGCGTAAGCGATGAGGTCGTGCTGCATACTGCGTCAGCGGAAAGGGTCCACAGGAACCCGCGCTAAGGGGCGGGTCTAACCCGCGTTCGTATACAGCAGTCGCGAGGCGGTCTGATTGGTTGATTGGGTAGCAACGACGGAGGTGTGGTGCGAGCATGATTCAATCGCTAGGATGGGGCAAATGTGATAGTATATGAAGCGTGTAATATGCGTAATCTCCGAGAAAAGGTAGACGGCCTTTGCGCGAGAAGGATATAGGTGAGTAGAACGAGTTGGATGACATGGCATGGAGGGTACACACCAATGTGGTCATGGACAGGTATAAGTACGGAAAGCCTGGCAGGTAGGATAGAGGAAAGGGTACACAAATCTAATTTCGAATTGTATTCCATAACAACCACTCATTATCAAGACGTTGACAGTTCCTCATACCCAAACATGTCCACCAACACCCTCCCCCCAACAATGAAAGCCCTACTCCAAGAAACCAAAAACGGCCCCCTAATCCCCAAATCGATCCCAACACCCACCCCCGGCCCGGGCTCCGTCGTCGTCAAAATCCTCGCAAACCTCCTTCAACACCAAACCCCCGGTATCCTCTCCGGAAAAGCGGGATTCACCTACCCCACCCCCATGATCCCCGGTGGACGAGCCGTGGGAAGAATCGCCGCTACAGGCCCCGACACCACGTGTCTCTCAGAAGGCCAACTTGTCTTACTCGAGCCCTTCATCCGCGCCCGCGACGACGCTGATACATGGATATTCTGGGGCGCAATGGAAGGTACGAGTGAGGGGAGTAAGAAGCTCTTTGCGGATAACTGGCGATATGCTACGTTTGCGGAGTATGTGAAGGCGCCTTTGGAGAACACCTGGGCGCTGGATGAAAAGAGGCTTTGTGGGGAGCTGGGGTATACGATACCGGAGCTGGTACAGCTGAGTGTTGATGTGGTTGCGTATAGTGGGCTCAAGGGGATTGGATTGAGGCCCGGGGAGAGACTGGTTGTTACGCCTGCTACGGGGCTTTTCTCAGGTGCTGCTGTGGGCGTGGCGGTTGCGATGGGAGCGACTATTTTGGTCACGGGAAGGAATGAGCGCGCGCTTCAGCGGCTGGTGGATGCGCATCCGAAGCTTGTTTCAAGTGTCCTGAGAACGAACGACATCGAGGTCGATGTTAAGAATCTGCAGAAGCATGGCACCGTGGATGCGTTTCTCGAGTTCACGCCCATGGGAGCGGAAGGGAGTACACATGTTCGTGCTGCTTTTGGCGCGCTCAAGCAGTACGGACGAGCGTGTATCATGGGCTTTGGTGGCGGCGCGATGAAGGATGTGGAGATTCCGATGATGGATATCGTGTTTAAGAGTATCACAGTTCATGGTCATGCCATGTACCGGGGTCAAGATGTGAAGGAAATGATCAAGATGGCCGAAGCGGGAGTGTTGAAACTTGGAAAAGAGAGAGGTTTTGATTCGGTGACGGAGTTCAAGATGGACGACTTTGAGAGAGGCTTCGACTGGGTTGGCGAAAACCACGAGCTCGGCCAGATGGCGGTTCTAGTCCCGTGATGCAGCCGAAAGTGGAAGGTGCGAAGGACCTTGAGGAAGTTACCTTCAGAAATCATTGTTAGCATGTCACTGCGTCATATGCAATTGCTGGAACCAGAAGTCCTTGATTCCTAGTCGGATGAGTACCGACTGCCCGCTGTAGAGGAAGCCGGGGCCTGTTGCAGTCTGTTATAGCCCTATGCATCACCAGCTATCCTAAGTAAAGTCCCACTCCAAGAAAATGCAGCAATCTGTCATGGTTCGTGAACGTTTCATGACCTCTTAACGCCGTGTGCCGACTTGAATATACCCTTCAGCGATCGTTTTACAGTACGCCAGTCGCAGCTACGGCAGGCGGGTGTAGTCGTCGGGGAAGGAGTGCCGGTCTTTTCCGCTAAAATCGAATCGGTCGTCGAGGTACGCGTGTCGCCGCCGCGGCTCGAAGAGCTTCTAGAGATTACGCTATCGGTCTTGAGGCCCTCAGGAGTTTTGTCTTTACTTCGCTCGCGCGATGTCACCTGTTCCTGAGTCCTCGCGCACCCCTAATCAATACCGTGTTGTTTTTTGAGCTTTTCTAAGTTCTCTTGGCGCTCGGCGAGATCATTCGCGGCCTTGAGCATCTTATCTGGCTGGTGATATAATACTGCTGCTGTTAGTGCTTGCTGTGTCAGAGAAGCGCCTGCCACGTACCGACGAGATACCGGTTCTGGAAGTTGAAACCGTTAAGCTTGTCGCAAGCCGACTTTGCGTCCATTACGTCTTCATAGACGACGAAGGCTGTGCCCTTGGTGTTGTTGGCGATGCCCTGGCGAATTTGGCTATGCTAAAGTCAGTAACCTGGAGTGACGGTGAAGGCCAAGATGCGCCAGCGCATGAGGGAGACGACGTACCGCACTGGGCCGAACTTGCCAAAGAGGTCGAAGAGTTCCTCTGGGGTGACGTTGAAGCTGGCGGAGAATTAGCGCGTGGCAGATAAGATACCGCGGGCATCTACTAACCTCAGGTTCTTTACGAAGAGAGCTCTGTAGACATGACATGTTAGCGCAGATGTCGTGTGAGTTGGTCGCATCGGCCTTGCGACTGGCACGCGATGCGGCATGGCGGACGTACCGGTTGACTTCCGGGGCCAATTTTCCTCCTCGACTCATACTTTGGCGACTGTGATGAACGGTAAAGGACGGGCTGCAGGGTTTGTAATGGGAGGCGGGCGGTGGGGAGGTTGTAGTGAGAAGTGAAGTTGGTGAACATGCGGGATCAATCGTGGATGGCGTGCAGGTCCGAGCGCCGAGCTGCATCACGTGGCGGACGCATACCAAGAACAGCGACTCATGCAGCACCGAGATGACGATGCACATGCGCCGCAAACGAGAGGTTGTGAAATCGGAGATTTAGCTTGTAGTGATTGTGGACATGTACTGAGATACAGATGTCTCACTGCAAGGTAATATGGTGATGGGTGCACTCCTTGCTGTAGAATCGAGCGCTCGAATCGGAGACGCGGACTTGCAGCGAATGAAGCGGCTTGTCTCCTCCCCAGAGCTCCTGCAACGGCCAACCATCTGCATACCACAGATACATGCGCTTAGAGCTCTCTGTGAAGCCGCCGCATCCTCGCCTACCTATCGCGCCCTG